CTGAAGCACTGTTTCTTCTCTACAACAAGCAGAGATGAACTTTTTCTCAATTTGGTTATGGAATACGTCCCTGAAACACTGTACCGAGTTCTAAAACACTATACTAGTATGAACCAAAGGATGCCTCTCATCTATGTGAAACTCTGTACATATCAAGTATGAACTCTTCCTTGTTACCTTTCTATTTTTAATTATTTTTATTGCTCATACTTGTTCTTATAAAAATTGGCACACGATGCTCAGATCTTTAGGGGACTAGCATACATCCATACAGTACCAGGAGTTTGCCATAGAGATGTGAAACCTCAAAATGTTTTGGTATGTTATTTCTGAGATGTACCTCCTTGATGCTCCCCTCACAGTTATTCTAAATGTATCGCATATCTGCTTGTAGGTTGATCCTCTCACTCATCAAGTTAAGCTTTGCGATTTTGGGAGTGCAAAAGTTCTGGTAGGTTATAAAATCTTATATGCTGCTCAGTCACCATAGCTCTTTTAACCTTTGTATGTTTGTGCAGTTGTAATTAAGTATGTCTGTGAATATGTGATGATGACCTGTGAGCAAAAGGCCATTGAAATGTGAATGCTGCTACAAAACTTGACCCTACATTTTTTTTTTTGGCTGAACATTCGAGCCGACATTTTTTCCGTGTCATAAGAACAGTAAATGAGGGAAAGGTTATCGGCCAGGATCACTTTTGCATTTTTGTTGGTACTTTAATCATTTACCAACATGATGAAATTGCTGTGTTGTGTATAAATTAGGTGGGGCCCTTGTACATTGCACAAGTATGAGAAATGAGTTGTTCTGTTCGTGGCTTGTGGATTGTATGGTTGCTATAGTTTTATATTTTATATTATTTTATTTCATTTAATCAATTGTAACTAATACCAGGTCAAGGGTGAATCAAACATCTCATACATATGTTCACGTTACTATCGAGCTCCAGAACTAATATTTGGGGCAACTGAATACACAACTTCTATTGATATTTGGTCAGCTGGTTGTGTCCTTGCTGAGCTTCTTCTCGGTCAGGTTAGTAATATTATACTCAAGAGCTGTTTTCCCTTTTATTTTTTATTTTTTCATATTTGGAATTTTTGGTTATATTGATTTGACTTCTGATAGTTTTGAATGTTTCTTTAGCCATTATTTCCAGGAGAAAATCAGGTGGACCAACTTGTTGAAATCATCAAGGTAACCTGGTCTCTATGTTGATGACACCATGGTTGGGTGGGTCTAGTTTTAGAGTGATTCATTATTTGGGTGTCTTCTTGTAGGTTCTTGGCACTCCAACTCGAGAAGAAATTCGTTGCATGAACCCTAATTATACAGATTTTAGATTCCCTCAGGTTAAAGCTCATCCGTGGCACAAGGTAAAGGCATTTGCTATTTGATCATTCATTTTTCTTTTGATATGCGATGCTGGAAATGCGGTTTTCAAAATGCAGATGAAGAGGGGGGGGGGGAAGCTGTCAAACTGAATGTGAAATCAATTTATATAAGTGAAACTATCTCCTACAGATTCTGAGGATTAACATGATCCATGACATACATTGGCTGTTAAAAGCAAGATATATTCTTGGAACTTCTTCCTTTGTTTTTGGTGTTTGGTGCATTGCGCTAATTGCTATTTCCATGGTTCAGGTTTTCCACAAGCGAATGCCTCCAGAAGCAATCGACCTTATATCAAGGCTTCTCCAATATTCGCCAAGTCTTCGCTACACTGCGGTGAGTAGGACAACTCATACTATTCCCTCCCCTTCTCAAGGGGAAAAGCGAAAAAATTAAAAAAAAAGGAAGTAAAAGATAAAAGATCCAAACAGGTCGTGGCACGTCTTTTGATTTAAATTACTCTTCTAAAATTCGCTTGATTCTCAAATCTCAGTGATGGTTTTTGTTGTTTCAGCTGCAAGCATGTGCGCATCCTTTCTTTGATGAGCTCCGGGAGCCCAATGCCCGACTACCCAATGGTCGTCCTCTGCCGCCACTTTTCAATTTCAAACAGGAAGTATGTAGCTGATTTCCTTTTATTACGTGTGACATATGCAAGGCAATTGCAATGTTTACCATTCATCCTTATAATGCATCTTTGTGAATGTCTTTTCAACGTAAAGTTTCTCATGTCACTAACTATAGCTTGCCCTTGAATGTAACATACTCAACAAGTTTCTTTACTGCGATGAACATGAATTGAGGTATTCTAATTGCAGCTGTCTGGAGAATCGCCTGAAGTGATAAATAGGCTCATCCCAGAGCATATTAGGCGGCAGATTGGTCTCAGCTTCCCTCATTTGGCTGGAACATAGGTGTAAAAAGACATTGAAGGAGTCAGCTATTCGAGTAATCAAAATGTAATGAAAGGATGGCCTATCGTTGATCAATATAACTAAAGGTTATGGCCTAATATTCTTCAGAGTCCCTCCTTATATGAAGATGTATGCAAGTACTGGCTGCTCAGCGTTACCTGGAAATCGGTGCTTCTGTCTACCACTTTAGTTATAGAAAACTATTCCCTGCATCTGTACATTGTTTTTGATCAGATTCCAGAAAGCTAGGAGCATAAAATGAATCGTGTCTATATAGGTAGGGGTTGCCAGAGTCCACCAAATATTAAGGGCCTCGGTGATGTTAGTACCGCTTGCTTCTTTTTACATAATCATAGTCAATGTTGTGTCCTTGTTTTATCCTCTTGCTTATGACAATATCTTGGTTCGAAACCAGTTTCATCTTTTAACTGTTTATTTCTCCTGTAGCCCTCCCCATTTGCCAAAATTCTCTGTCCGTTTCTGACTTTAGTCCGATGCAGCACCATAGAGGAGGAAAAGAATCGTTTTGGAAGGTTGATTAGGGATGCTGATTGTATTGCTTATAATTTAGCTAGGTCTTGTCATTCTTATGATAATGATTTGTACGTCTTTGATCAAAAACCACCATTCCTATGATGGGGGTAGTTGATGAGAGATTTTAGATGTAGTTTTCTGTTCTTTGTACTCCTTTTGAGTTAGTGATATAGTTTCAAGTTTCATTCCAAAATAAAATAAAAAAAAGAAAAAGGTTGGTTAGGTAAGGAACTTGCAATTTCTTTCCTTTTTCGAGAACTCTCTAATATATGTATCTTCGGACTGGGAATAGCAGAATCTCTTCCAGCACACTTTTCTGGGTGTCATTTAGACATTTTCTCCGATCCGCGCCTGCATGCTGATGCGAACTTGGTAGTTACCTCTGGTAGCTGAATCATGTTAGTTGTCAAATAATTTGGTCAAGGGTTGGCTATAGTAACATGCAGTGCCAGGGACGGTGATGAGTTTGGAGAAATAATCAAGAGAATCCTATCAATCTGCGCATCTTTAGAATCGCAAGTGTACTATCAAGCTTGATTGACATAAAGATTTAAATACCTGAGAAGCATCGTTTTTATCGAAGGAATTTAGAAATGATGGATTGCATTTCTTCAGGTTAGCAGGGAAAAATGGATCGCCTCAAGTAGAAAGAGAGGGTAAAATAAAGAATCCCAATTCTATGCATGTGGATTCCATTACGATTAAATGAAATGAAATGAAATTACTATTACGCTCAAAATTTGGGGCAACGTTTCAATTAAGAAGTTGGTGGGGGCTTCTGGCCAAGGCATGAAAATGCATAAGGAATAATGTGGGAACGAAGCTTTATGTTGCGATGTTCCCCTTTGGCCCTTTGGTGGTGGTGTGGAGGAGAATGATCACTAAAAATCTCATAAGAAAGCTGAATCCAATTTTTTTTTTTATGTAAAGATCTTCAGTGCTAAAAAAAATGAATACCAAATAATAGAAGTTAAATTTAACAACAGAGACTGTTCTCTTGCAACGTGGTGAACCAAAATTTAAATTTTCGTTAAAAGAAAAACTTATATTTAATGCTAAATAATGTCTTGAATATGATTGCCTTTAATATTGAATTCAAAAACATAATTTGCCTCCAATACCTATGGGTAACTGAAAGAAGTGAATATTGAACTTGAAAGCTTAAATTGTGATGGAATCTTAATTTGATATTAACTTTTTCATGAAATTCTTAATTGTCATTCTCCTTAAACATAATAGTAACATTCTTGAACCTGAATGATGTGTCTAGCATTATCCTTTGCACTTTCGAGCCTTTCATGTCTTCAATGCGCACAGCCTTGAACTCTTTTTTAACTTTTCCATACAACAAACTTTAGAAAACAAAAATGACAGCCATGGAATAAAGCATTTCATAGTTTGACTTTCACCATCTGAACTTGCAAACCTCACTCCCATGCCCTGGGCCCGACTTACTTTTGAGTTCATGGATTATGGCTTCTTTATTTCATTTTATTCTTTGAAGTTTAAAACTAATTTCAGAAAGAGATAGGCTTATGATGCATAAAACAATTTGCTGACCAACTTAAATGAAAGACATGAAGTGTCTACCCAACCAACTTTGTCTCTTTATATACACATCCTCCCCCCCTCCTCTCTCTCTCTCTCTCTCTCTCTCTCTCTCTCTCACTGCAATAATCTTCGTTGGCTGAAAACGAAAATTGATTTCACATCATCTTTATGTCCAACACAAAGAATACTGAAATGTCAAGGAGCTCAGGAGATAAGCTTTGCACTATGAATATTTGTCACTGTATGGAAACTTTGGGACGGGTGCTTAACTTTCCTAAGTAGATTGTTGGCATATTCAAAACTAAGAAAATTTAAACTATAGGATCTCGTGTAATTTGGAACACTTTTTACAAGAGCCCCTCTTCTGTTTTCTAATAAAAACAAGTGGAAAAAGAATAATTTATATATTTACTGTTGCTGCCCTTAAATTAAGCAAATCATCTTCAACGGAACAGAACATGTCCTTCTCAATCAAAAATGATTTGCAGTGATAAACCAATCCGTTGATTATTCAAATTAAAATATTTCCTCAGAAGAGCATATCATCTCTATAAAAACAATTAGCCTTTTCCACACAAATTCACATTATCTCCAGTACATCCCAAACAAGGCTGAACTATTGTTTACGCAAACAGATGAAATCCGAAGGCCAAAATCACTATATTCTTTCTCTGTTTTTTATTCTTGCAGTTTGGATGTCTAAAGTAATGTCTCGGACCCTCCAAGAGGCATCCTTATCAGAAAAATATGAACAATGGATTGCAAGATATGGTAAGGTCTACATGGATGCTGAAGAGAAGCGGAAACGCTTTCTGATATTCAAGAACAGCTTGGAGTTTATCGAGTCTTTCAATGCTGCTGGGAACAAACCCTACCAGCTTAGCATTAATCAATTTGCTGATCAAACCAATGAAGAATTTAAAGCTGCCCATAACGGCTACAAGAGGTCCCAAGGGCTGAGGACCATGAGTGAAACATCATTTAGTTACAAGAATGTTACTCATGTTCCTGCTTCTGTGGACTGGAGGAAAAAAGGTGCTGTCACTCCAGTCAAGGCACAAGGCTTATGTGGTAAGATGAACAACACACAACAGTAGATGGTCTTACCCTTACTTCGTTCATTTCTTCAGTAAGTTAGTGCCTGTGTCATGTTTGGCCACGTGTTTTTGTCTGTTTTTCATTTTGACACTATGAATTATTGGTTTAATGCTTGTGTAGTTATATTACTTTGGCCTGCACAAAACCAGGTGGTTGGGCATTTTCAAGTGTAGCAGCAACTGAGGGAATTCACCAAATAACTACAGGAAAACTAGTGTCCCTCTCAGTGCAGGAGGTGATAGACTGTGATAAAGTTATTGGCGAAGGTTGTGTGGGAGGTTCAATAGAAGATGGCTTTGAATTTATCATAAAAAATGGAGGAATTACAAGTGAGGCAAACTACCCCTACAAGGGGGTTGAAGCCACTTGTGAAACTAAAAAGGAAGCCTCTCATGTAGCCAAGATTAAGGGCTATGAGAATGTACCTGCCAATAATGAAGAGGCACTATTGAAGGCTGTCGCTGGCCAACCTGTGTCAGCCGCCATTGATGCTGGAGAATCTTCTTTCCAATTTTACTCTAGTGGAGTTTTCACTGGAGATTGTGGTACAGAGTTAGACCTTGGTGTAGCAGTTGTTGGTTATGGCCTTGCTGACAATGGGATTGAATATTGGCTACTAAAGAACTCATGGGGAACTGAATGGGGTGAGCAAGGGTATATGAGGATGAAGAGAAATATAACTGCCAAAGAGGGATTATGTGGTATTGCTATGGATGCCTCTTATCCAACTGATTAAGTATTAATATTATGTAAATTGTGTCTTGAATTTTGCTTTTCCTGGAACTTGTGGGCGTACGTGAATATGTATTTTCCACTATTGAGGTCATATATCAGTTATCTATCGTGCGTAAACTATATACACTGTTTTTTATGAAACAGAATCCAATTGGAATCTCAATATCAAAATCAGTTGCAACAATAGCTGCAAAAAGAAGAAGAAAGAAAGATGCGAAAAATAAGAAGATACAATGCTATGCAGATGTACAGCATAACGGCTAAAAGAATTGAAAAGTGTAATGAAGACAAGAGGCTTAGTAGCAAATAATCAGAGAATCATAAAAGAAACCTCAACTTGCTACATGTGAAAATTGACTTCTATCTATCTGTATTTTATAATGCCCTTCCTAGTTCCTTCTAAAATACTCAAAATTTACTAAATGAGTCACAACCCACACCATATAGAAGAAGATAGAATCAATAAACAAGTTAGCATTCGATCTCACTTTTTAGTTTTTCACCTCTCGTACATTGCCATTGGTAGATATCTCTTCAAAATTTAAAAGAATTTAAGGGTTTTTTTTTTTCATATTCATTCGAGGGATTTTCTATGCAATTAACAACTTTTTTCAGTACTCAAAACGTACTGATACCATACCATATTGGCAACTTGCACATCATGATGTCACCCCCACCCTCCCCTTTTTGTTCTTTAACTTTTGGCCAGGTTATGAACAACCAAAACCAAAACATTTAACTTTGGTTACACTTTCAAAAGGGATTGATGATAGAAAGCTGTCATGTCAATTTATCTATCCCACGACAATTAAGTTTAGTGTTAGTGTGTTGCAGGAAAGTAATACAAAGAAAACTGTTAATCTGTCATAGTTCTTTTATGTTTTCGTGTCCCTCTTAGTCATAATTCAATTATGATTTTTCTCATCCTGATGAGAACACTTTGCTTCAGTGAAAGTAATATTCAATATTGTGAACTTCAAAATTCAATGAGTGAAATGCTTTGTAAATAATTGGCGAGAGCTTAAAAGTTGACATGTGAATTGATCTGTATTCTACAATGCCGGGCAGACCATTCCCTCACCTGTGTTGATTCATTATCTTCGTTGAAAATCCAATCATTGTTCAATTTATTTATGTTAATGATGGGTCCTAACATGCATTATGTCTTCCTTTGAAATATGCATCAACCCTCTGTCTCTTCTACTGCCACTTGCCCAAGTTTGGTCTGGTTGGCCTCGCTAGAATATCAAATTAAAAAACCATATTAACTACTTATGAACAATTTTTTTCCCTTCACTATATTGACATTTGACAATGGCAGGATTATCATGATAAACAGGCTACTTATTGTTTTCTGCTGACCTTTCTCAACACAAATGTAAGGTATAAATATGCCACTTCCCATTCATCTGGTGAGAGTGTGCCTGATATACATAAGGAAAAAAAGGTATAGGTTTTAAATTCATGATAGCTGGAAAAGCAGGACAAGTTTTTTTGAAAAATATATAAGATAAAATGAAGAGCCAGAAAAAGATGGAAAGAAAGGCTTACTCTGATCTCGGTTGCCAACACCCAAGGCACCGAGCCGTCGCATGAGCTCTACAAATTCTGGTTTTTTCATAAACTCGTGCACAAATTCATGCGAGTTCTTTGAAAAGACAAGCTCAAAATCATACTGTTAAGGACAAAAATGAATTAATTATTCAGATTGCTCAAGCTTATACAATCCAATCCTTGCTGGTTATATCTAGAACTATTGCAGAAAGCAATACCTCTTCAGCTAATGACTTGAATACGGGGAAGGGAACAATCCATTCAGGGCAATCAACTGCATCCTGAAACAAGTACAACTAACAGCTCTGTTCACAATTATTACACACAAAGGTTCTTTCTTTATATGGGCAGGTTCTTTCTTTATATGGGCATTGTTCACTTGCTATGACCAAGTCACTCATCTAACAATGTACTTTGACATGGAAATATCAAATCATCCCCATATTCTAAGACAAACTCTTAATTGAGAATCAAAAAAAGGGATGTAACATGTATGATACCTCTAGATGAAACTTGTACTTTATGCCAAAAGGGCTAGAAGATTTGAATTTCTGAAGTACACGAAGCATGTCAGATTAGATATACAGTCCAGCAAAACACAGGAAGTTATTCCCTATATTAGAAGTTCCTTTACCCAAAGGAAAAAAGGGAAAAGGAAGCTACAGGATAAAGACAATAAAGTCACCTTATCTGAAAATTCTTCATCAAAATGCACCCAGTAGACACTATTGCCAAAAGCCAATCCTTCAGCTGCATATTTCACAGTGAATATAGATTCTTCAATGAGGAATTACAGAAATGTTCTACCATGTCAAACAAGATAAACATATTCATTGGAGTCTTTTTTCCCCTTCAAAGAAATGAAACAAATACCATGCAACAGCATTTTTCTGTCCTGTTTTTTTGGTCAAAATAAGGAAACTTATTAGAGAGAGGAGTTATAAGAGAAAGAGAGCATAAGAAACCCTCCAAAACAAAACCAAGAAAGAAGAAAAGACACCAAAAGGACTTAACTGCAAAAAAAGCTAATCAATCCCTCTGTGCATCAGAGATATATATTCCCACAAACAATCATGTGTTGAGCAACCACAGCACAACATTGTAGCAAGGATAGAAAAAGTTCATGACAAAGCCAGAGTACCCTAATGCAAAATGCATAAGGATTTTCACAAAGCATGCTGACTTTAAAGACAAGAAAGGTAAGCTTATAAATAAAAAGATAAATTTCACCTGATGTGTCATACAAAATGGTACAAAATAATTTGAACATATAAAGTTTAAAAGACCTCCTGCTAATGTGAAATGTATCATAAAACAAGATCAGCTCCTGCATATGCTATGGTTATAGTAAATTAAATAATTTCCTCATCCATATAAGGAACACTTTATTCCCTGAAAACCTTAATGACCAGAGATTAATTTGGTATGATTTATGACAACGAAATTAAAATTGTAGGTGGACTAAAAACCTTCTCTAAGCTTTTTGATAATCACATTGGCATCTGGCATTATTCCAATGAAAATGCCTCCTGGACGAAGTAAAGCTGATATATTAGCCAAGGCTCGTCGAGCACGGGCCTCTGTGGACCATGAGTAATGCAAAGCAAACTGCAGAATTCAAAAGTACAGATTTGTAACCTAGCAGCACTTAGACGATCACTATAAATATCACAAAGTGAGAAAAGGTAATGAAATGGTATGGCGGTCTAGTTTAGGCACGTGAGCAAGCAGCAAGCATCCAGGATATACAGTAAAAATACCACAAAATGACATCTTTACAACATTCGTTTTTACATTAAGAGGACAAAACCAAGATATTGAATTTCATGATAAGCACAAATCACTTAAGAGGCAAAAACAAGAAGGCAAGAATAAAAGTTAGAAACCAAATAAAAGTATTACATTCATATTGAATACATTCTATTTGTAAATGAATATTAAAATGATTTATGTTAACATAGGAGTGCATCATTCACCTGGCAACTGCAAACATCAAAAGGTGCATCATTTGCAAGAACTTTATCCAAGTGAACCTGAAACCACAAATTATTAGAACAAGGAAACTTGATTTCAAATTAAGGGGAAAAAACAAAAATTGCAATAAAAGTTGAAGAACACATGTACAAAATATGTAAAAAAAAAAAAAAAATAAACTATAAAATTGGACCCAAAAAAATATATGTATCTGTTATTTTGGTAAGATCAATCTCTCTATATATCTGTTATTACCATCAAAGCAATTGCTCGTATTCCAGCCCTAATTGAGATATTTTTTATATTTTTTTATTAATGAAATTATAAAATAAGTATCCAAATGTTCGCTTCAATTTTTCTAACGGTAAGAATACCTGAGTTGATATTTAAAGCTAAATAAGAGTTATTTAAATATTTAAGAAGTGAAGGTTTTATTTTCATAACATGACAAAGTTGCCGAGAATAAAACAAAAGGAAGAAACATAGTTAAAAGATAAACAAGCACAAATAATAATTACCTCATAACAATCTCCACATATGAGGCGGGCAGGAAATGTGAACTTTTTACGTTGTTGATGATGGTCAGCATCACCATTGTATCGTATACGACAATCTTCAATCTGGACAGATTTTGTTATTTCAGTGAGCTGGTGCAGAGGACTATCAACATGGAAGAATTGCAAACAGTTTGATGCAATTAGGTACGTAAACTTTGGCTGCATAAGAGCAAGGACTTGAGTGGTAACATCTTAGAAACATATCACCAAAAATAAAATGAAGGCTATGATGGTTGTTTCACTATCACTGGTTAGAGCGATGACATTTGCATGAAATCATCATCATTCCAAAAGAGATGCTGACTAGTGACAAGGTTTTATATCCTGTAAGTACATAAATGGCAAAAGCAAAGCAATATGAATGCACTCACGAAGAAAATTATATTATCTGGGAGACATAGTCAAAGCTTCGTAAATGCAAATTTGTTGAAAGTGAGGTCAGCATTGAGAGGTAAACATGATAAATCCTGTCCAGATAAATTTAAAGATGTCATTGCTAGAATGTCTTGGTGACTCTAGTTTAAAGCACCTCAGTCAAATACCTTTTAGAGTGATTTGAGGAATATGTCAAGAAAAAATCTGGCAAGACAAACCAGTGAAAAGATAAAAGAATCTCAGCAAATTGTAACACTTACCGATCCTTCAGCAACGTCAATGCCAACATAATAACCAATTTTCACCTTGTTCCATTTAATAAGATCGCCACCCTGAAAAACATTAAAAGAAAGAATGCTCATCAAAGGAATTGATGATGAATTTTGGCATTGGAAATCATTAACACCTTGCCACAAGCCAGGTCAAGGACTGCATCCCCGCGACGAGCATAAAGCTGAATTAAGACACTTTTAATCTGTTTAAGGACAAAAGAATACATACAGAAATCACAAGACTATTGTAAATATTTTGATGATAATAAATTAATGGTTACAAAATGCAGTATATACCCAATTGTTGAGTTTCTTCAAATGAATTATTGGGCTAGCCTCCCGCTCTTCTAAAGTCCGATTGGATCTTGAACTGTAATGCTCTGCTACTTTCTGAACAAAATCTTTCGTGCTTTCATCCTCCAGAAACTGTGAATCACCTAAACACACAATTTAACTAGAAGATAAACTTGATAATTACAACTCTCTACAGGCAAAGCAAGGATAAAGGAAGGAATGAATTAGAAATTTGAAACTTGGGATGCTCCACTATACACGGCTAGGAAGTAGAGCTAGTGCTTTTTCCATTACATGCAACAATTGAATTTTACACATCTTTTGCTTGCTGGAGCGGAGTATTACAGAGTTTCTAGAAGAAAAGCATGGAAAAGGGAAAGAAAGATGGAGAATTGAAACTTGGGATTCTTAATTATACACTTAAGAAGTAGAGCTAGTGCTTTTTCCATCACCCCCAATGAATTCTACTGAGCCACTACTAGCTAGAAGCCTAGAACCTACTAGAGCAGAGTTAGTTTGACAAGAATGAACATTATATTATCAATTGAATTAACTTAAAACAGTATTCCAGACCAAGACAAATAGACAATAATCAAATGCAAAAGCCCACAATTTTCCCCTTGCCCCCATTCTTCGACTGAAATTCTGCCTTGTCATTGGTTTATTTGCAAGCTAAAGAAGCCTGAAGAGTCAAAACCGGGGAATCCATATATATATATATATATATTATGGAACTACCTTTCAATATCACTGTTACCTTCTGGGTTATATTTAGTTTTGGATTGAGGTGGCCCGGAAGAGGTAGGAGGAAATTCCTGGTATCCACGCTTCATGGGGAATCACCAGAATTACCAGTCTATCTTGATACTTCAAGGAGTCGTTAGTTTTAGTTTTTGTCAGTGACAATCGAATCCCAATCCATTTCGAACCTAAGAGGGCAGGAAGAAAGCCAAGTTGTTTGTTGCGTGGTGCGTTGATCGGCTAGAACGTGGGGATCTCTAAATCATGGGACTGCAGAATGAGAGCATTTCCGGTTGACACAAGTTTGAGAAACCAACGGCTGTCGTTAAGAGGGGTTCATTCGGTATTGTGAATGGTGAATTCCATTTAAGAAAATTAATTAATTTTTTTAATTTAAAAATACTTTAAACTAAGTTTAAAAAAACTAGTAATATATATAAATTGAAAATATAAAAAATATGTAACAAATCTAAAAAAAATTGCAAAAAAAACTCATTTTATTAATCATCAAAAGAAAGCATTACATACATTAATCATATGTCTTGATTTAACTGAAAGTAATCACATTAAATATTTAAAATTAAATATATAAGTTTTTCTACAAAAATTTTCATTTATTGATGAATATAAACATTTTTTTAAATATCAGCAAATAAATGGCTGAGATCCTTAATCATTTTTCTAATTTTTGGAATTGACATTTTCCTTTTTTTTTTAGCTAGCATTTTCCTTTTTTATTTAGGATCAAAATACCATCTTTTTATTTTGTCACTAGCAGCGTGTTCTCCACATTTGAGTATAGCATTAATATGTGTGCGTGTGTAGATGTCTCTCTTTCTTTTGAGAAATGCTTAGGTACTTAGGTTAGTTGTAAATTTTGTAAAAAAAAATATATAATAAAATTTTACCAAAATATATAAATAATAATAAAATTTTAAAATGTTATAATTTTTTTTAATTTTTAAGTACCTTTTGATGTTAATATTTTGATTAAATAACTAAATTCTCAATTTAAAATAAAAATAATAAGTCTAATTTCATTTTTTTAATTATAATTTTTTAAATAATAACTATTTTATACTGTGAATCATAAAAATTGAACAGAATATTATAAATTTTCATATTAAATTTTTTTAATGATTCATAAATAAATTTTAAAAATAAAAAATTTTAACTATAATTTTTATTTAAATAATCACAATTTTTATTATGTAAATTATAAAAATTGCTCTATAAATCAAAAATTTTTACATGATATTTCTTTATAATTAAAATTTAAGTTTTAAAAATAATTAAAAAAATTTTAATTAAATTTTTATTTAAGCAATTATATCTTTTATTTTATAAATCATAAAAATTGAATAAGAACATACATTATTTTTTATTTTAAAAAAAATAATTTAATCATTTAACTTAAAATATTAATATTAAAAAAATTAAATAATTTAAAAAAATTATAATATTTAATATATAATTATTATTTATATAATTTAATAAAATTTTATTGTCATGTTCCCAATTTTTTTTTAGAGAATTCATTTTTTCAAAGTTCTCGGTAACTATGTCAAAAAGAAGGGCCATTTTGGTAAATAAGAAATATAAACTTGGCGCTATTTGCTTTAAGGCCCACGCACCATGTCTCTCCCTATCTCCCTCGAGCTCACACTGGAAATATTTTTCTGTCTCTCGCAGGGTTTTAGCTCAATTTTCTTTAAACCCGAGGACATGGCGGCGATGAGAGCGGCAGTAGCGGCGCCTCGCGGTCTAAGGCGGCTGTTCTCAACCACCCCAACCTCAACCTTCATTCCTCCACCGCCCTCGGCGACGGCTCCTGCTCGAGAGATGGCCGAGCCCAGCCCCAACCTCTTCGTCTCTGGTTTGTCTTCCATCGTGACTTCTTTCACCACTCAATATTGAGTTAATTTTGGTTAAAGGGTATCGTAATATTTTGTTGATTTATGCCCGTGGCCCTTTTGTAGTCGGTTTTGCTTGCCCTTTATCATTTGTAATTAGCTCTTCTTGAGGAAAATAGCTGAAGGCAGTTATCTACCGAAGCACATGAAGTGGAGACTGCGTGACGCATTTTAAATCTAGGCGAAAAATGCAGTTAGTCAAACTACATGAAGTTATTGGATATATACTCTTAATTGATTATACGTTTTGTTCCAATCAAGAATCAACATTAATGGATTAGATTTATTTTCCTCAAAGATTGTACTTTTTTTTCTGTTTTCCCAGTGTTTTAGTGAAAGCCGTGAGGTGATATTTGGTTAGTGTAAAGCTTAAAGCTTAATTTTGCAAGTACTTGAAATGTCATATATGAGAAAATTTATCAAGAGATGTGTGTGTACCATATAAAATGTAACTGGGTTTATCATCTGCGTGCACGTAGAATATGAATAGGTTTTGCAAATAGGTTTTACAAATACTTGGGGAATTAGTTATCCACATGCCAAATGGTACTTGAGGGCGTTTTTCCATTTGTGCGCGCGCGTAGTCATTTTTACAGCATAACGAACTTATAGCGCAAAGGGCTCAAAACTGCTATGATGCATAGTTCTAGCGCATGTTGATGTAAAGAATGACATTATTCATAATGACTGATATATAGAAAACCACACACACAAAAATCTATAAATCACATTATGAAGTATTTAAATAATAAATAACTTCAATGTTTAACTCAATCTTTATATGATATCTAAAATAATTGCTTTTTTCAGATGCAACATCCTCATCATTGTCATCATTAAGCAATCCCTCAATCTTTGTTTTAATATCTTGAGGTTTTTGTTTGTTCGGCAACCAAATAGTGAGGATGAGATGCCTATGCCCTCTTTACTTAAAGCCCTATTATATTGGGACTTGATGAATGCTAAATCATTCAATTCTAATCATTCAAGGAATAATGAACCCTAAGCAGTAGCTTATGCAAAATTAGGGCTGTCCTTGTCTGATTTATCTGCAGTCTGAATTACAGCTGCATAGCTCATACAGCATAATTGTAATGAAGCTACATGAAAGATTGAAAGTTGCAAGGTTAAATACATGGCCTAGCGCCAAGAGCCCTGTCGACGAGCTTCCTGCAACAGTGTGTAAGCTACAGCATGCTGTTAATAACTTTCTGTGCGCGTGTGCCCATGTTTTCCTTCCAGTTTTCCTTCTTGTTTTTTCCCCCTTTGATAGGGTTTAACCTCAAGATTTCCCCACATCCTTAGCTTCCTCGGCACCAGGAGGCTGCCATAGCTTTAACATGAATTATTGGAGAGTGCCATTTATGGAACCTGATGGGTATTTCTACTATTAGATTAAATAATCAAGTTGGCTAATTGAATTAATGAGATACGAGCTGGTTATTGTAAAAATGTGAAATTGTTATGATTCCCCCCTCGTTTCACAACAATATCACGTGTTTGTTCACTTTGTGACCTCTGAATTTTGTTATTACCTTATGCTTTTTGTCCTTTTTTTTAGAGGAAGTTAGGATAGTTGCAAGACAAACCTTTCAGTTTTGACTTTCTTGTTTTGATATATTAGGGGAAATAATTAGCTTTTTACGTAGTTGTGTTGCTAGGAGTTGCTAAAGATGTTACAGTTGTCCGTTGCTATGCTAAGATGGCTTTCTTTATATAATATTTGTCACTATCTTGGTTACACACTTCATCATTTCAAATGCTTGAGTTGGGTATGGTAATATTCTATATTTCTCACTTTCAGGGCTTAGCAAACGTACTACTACAGAAAAGCTACGGGAGGCTTTTTCCCAGTTTGGTGAAGTTGTTAGTGGTTTGTGCTGCCTCCCTACACAATTTAAGCTATGACCAGTTTTAGTGTATCACTACATGTACTTTTGTTCAAAACTCTACATTTTGTAACCATAACGGTCCTTTTTTTTTTTTTGGGCTGTTTTCAGCTAGAGTGGTAACTGACAGAGTATCAGGTTACTCTAAAGGATTTGGCTTTGTAAGATATGCTACTGTAGAAGAAGCTGCAAAAGGCATTGAGGGCATGGATGGAAAGGTAAGCTGGGCTGCAAGAATATATTCTGTGCTTTGAGGTGGACTACTATGGGGATGATATGAGGAATTTATTTTTAAGTCTACTGTGTCTATGTCTGGATTTGTTTTTTTTTTTTTTTTTGTATGTCTGAATGTTTTAATTTTAACAAAATTGCAATTTGACTCAGCTGGGACTAGATAAATAAACATAGGAGTTAAGATTTCAGCACACTGCCTTAGACGATGAAAGTCGTATTGCCTGAAGATGGCAACGTTGCTTTCCCTCCACTGATGCAGAATTTTTGCACACTCGTCTATGATGATATGCATCCAAGTCTTAATATGAGTTTTCCTCAGAATCGTCATTTCTCTACCATCACTTGGAATTCAATGTCTAACTTCAAACTCTACAACAATTTTTGCTTCTGGTATCATAATGTGAACGTTTTAGGTCACATATGCTAGTTTGACATGGCAATGGTAATACAACGGATATAAACTTGTGCTTTGTGATTGTAAACATAATATTTTACGGCCTTGCTCATTTTAATATATTTGATGTACTTCTTTTGTGTTGTTCTGCATATTTGATGCGGTCTTAGCTTTGAGTTTGGCATGTCTTACTAAACAAACTATCACTGGCTATGCTAGGCAGATGTTGATATTCTTGGTTGCTACTTGCTCATCTGAAAATTGATTCACTTTTTTTTCCTTCCTTGTTTGCAGTTTCTGGATGGTTGGGTGATATTTGCAGAGTATGCAAAACCAAGACCATCGCCGGGACAACCTATGCCTCCTCCATATGGGCGGTAGTGATTCCTATCATTTACCTGGTGATTGTACTTCATTGAATTGGTTGCATTTGCTGATCACAAAGAACATTATTCATAAAATCGTGGGAAATCTTCTATTTCCTAAGTTTTTACATGTCTGTTGTGGGAGGTCAACCTTATAAACTATATTCATTGGAATGCAATAGTTTTGACATGGCTATAGTGGACCTTTGGTGGATATATATCTGTGGTATTAACTTTATCTTGATACCAGGTCAATAATATTCTGATCTGAAAACTGATGATTGGTTGCTTCATTTCTAGTCTAGGAACATGTATTATTATTTTGGGAGCCCAGCCACTCGGTCAAGAAGCCATGGCTTATATATAGCTATGATTTTTCTAGTGGTGTTTTAATCCGAACATGTCTTTCTGTTTACGACAATCTCTGCAAAAATCTAAATATAGTTCAGAAAACCCCATTTCTCTTCTCAACTTTAGTAGGACTTATGTGTGCATGTATTGAAGAGTAAACATCGATGGAGTTGCAAAAGGCATAGTTTCTGTGGTCTGATAAGCAAAATGCAGTGTTGTGCAAAAAAATTGGAGAATGTCATGTAAACATTCGCTAGGGCAGTATATAATAATCAAATCAAAATAAAAATAAAAATTTATAATCAAACTACAGTTCAATTTTAGTAGCTTGCATTATATGTCCGTGGGCAAGTTACGAGTGACAACATTCATTTTTTGCCAGAGTGGCAGCCATTATCATCAAGGGTTGTGAGAATGACAAAACTAATCACTTGGGCCTCAGGTTTTGGGCTTTTTTTTTTTTTTACCAACCAGATTTTGGAAATTATTTTCAAGGAACTTAGGACATGTTTAAAATTTTTTTTATTTTATTGTTTTAAAAATTAGTGTTTTATAAAATATGTTTTGAGAGCAAAAAAATAATAAAGATAGATATTTTGTTTTATTCTCTTTTATTCTTCAAAACAATAATTTTAAGACATTTAAAAATTATTTTTATTTTTTTACTTTTAAAATAATATTTTATTTTTATTATTTTTTTATTTTGAAAAACAGAAAATTGTTTTTGGTCAAAGAGGATCATAATCATTCTCTTTCCAAAAAGCAATATTTATTGTCACAGAAATGCCATCCTTTTATTTATATTTGAGACTGGCACGTCGACGCGCGTGCGTGTGTGTATTCCATTCTTTCACCATTATTAAGCACTTTTTAATTATCATACTCAAAAATATAAAACACTTCATCTCTTTCAACATGTAATTAATATAATTTTTTTAAAAATGTTCATAAATATGATTAATAAAATTTTTTAGTAGAAATAACATTAAATAATGATAAATACAAAAAATAGGTAATTTTAATTGGTACTAGCTAACTTATTGAATATGTAAATTAGTTAAAAGTGTTTAGTTCTATATAAATAGAGTGTTTGTATTCAATCTGAACGAAAATATAAAATATTTTTTTAAAATTTTGTTTAGTTCGAAGTATTAGTCAATAGATAGTTCTTATAATAATTTTTTAAATTAAGGCATAAATTTACTCTCAAAATTTTCACTGAAGCATTTGGCGTCTTTACATTTTTTTGGTGCAACGTTTGTTTCAACATTTTTCCATTTGGTACATTGTTACCTTCCCATTAAGATCTAATTGACATATAAATTAAAAATCTCGCCATTATTATTGCCACGTCTTCAATCCCATCCTCATTCCTCTGGACACATCAGAATGCCATCCTCCCTCTGAAACCTTCATCGACTTCAACCTCACCAAACCCTTCATCTGCCTCTCTGGCCTTCTTTCTCTAGCAAGAAAAATGGCTCTTTTCCGTATCTTTCTTTTCCATGCATGTATTTCTTCACCTCCCTGGTTTTTTTTTTTTTAATTTTTCAAAACCCTATGTGAAAAATTAGAAGCGGGCATTCAACAGTGGTATCTTGAGCCTTGCACTCGACCCGCCCACTGCGACAAGCGATTCTTGAGGGGGAAGTCGACGAACAGGAGAACCTAGTGATTGAGATTGGTCTGATCTTAAGGCCTCTGAACTGCAACAACTTAAGAGAGCTACGATGATTGAAGAGCGAAGGAATGGAAGAAGTCGAGATTTGAGTGAAGGGAAGGGAAGGAAATAATATGGGGATTCATTTCGACGATACCAGGGGATTCACACTGACGATAATGACGCAGCATACTTAGTGCTTCTAGATCCAAACAATTTCGACTCGCTTCTTGATCCAGACTTTTCATACTGAGAAATTATTCTGATGTTCTGTCTTCGTATTTATTCTGAGGCTGTGTATGTTTGTTTGAATAGGATATTGTATATAATATTTTTGGCTGAAAATGTTTGTTTTGATCTGAGTTGAAATGCTCATCTGGTTGAATCTATTTGAGTTGTTCTATGTCCGGCGAGAAAAGCCATGGGGGCGGACGAAAATCATTTCTGGGTTCAGGCACCGTTGTGCATGGAAGAGTTTTCTTGCTTACGGAACTCGTGACTTACTGGTTTCAGGAAAAATTTTGCATTCACTTAGTTCCAAGCCATGTGTTGTGATTCCACAAGCATCAGGTTGATTCTTGCTCAAGTTTGATGATCGACGCTGATGATCATTTTATTATTGATTTTGTTCTACTTATAGATGTGTTCTTGACTTGTGTTCATTGATGAGGAAGAACAGTGTTCATCGATTGAAGAAGAATGACTGATTTCAAATGTACGTGATATGTTTTCTCTACAGCTGGTAATGCACTAGTTGAATTTATTCATATCGAAAAACTTAAAATATCTAAACTTACAAAAAATTACATGTAATCAAGTTTGACTCTAATAATCTCCAGTTTTGAGTTTATTCAGACATCAATGCCCAGAACCTTTGAAAATTACTTTTTTTTTTCTTTTCAACCAATTTCAATTTTAAATTTAAAAGTAAAATTTTTTGAAACAATATAAACACAAAAATATAATAAATTACATTAATTGACCACTCTTCAATTATATCTTTTATTTTCTCCATGATAAAATGTGAAGTTTTTATTCTCACAAAATACCACATGAGAATTTACCCCCAAAAAAAATACTAAATGAGAAATGAATGTAGCATATAAGTAATTAACATTATATTAATTTAATTTTAAAATACTTGGTTTACATTCTTAAGAATGATCAACTTTTATTGTGTGATTATTTCTCTCATAAATTTTACCACATAATATTCACACTCGCAACCCTATATTGTGTAGGCACCTGTTACACTTTAATAATAGGATTAATGTAATATGGATGATAAAGTAAATAAAAAGTTACAAATAAAAAAGGAAAAATTGGTGAAAATCACCTAGTTGGAAGGGAAACTAGTCCTAAAGACCAAATTTTGTCGAAGGACCAAGATCAATTTTTTCATGTTTTTACTTCGTGTTGTGTTGACCAAAATACCCCTATCTTAACAATTGAATTTGAACTCAAAGACCACCCTTTCTACTTAGCTTCTTCATTCGATTTGAATGAGAGAAGACTAGAGTACTGGTGAGGGAAGTTTTTTCGATGGACTATCAATAGCAGTGTGAGCTGTGAGTGAGTTGTGAGTGATTAGCATAGAGAAAAGACAATCCTATCTCTCCGCACGGTACCCTAATTGGATGACTTGTGATCAATGAGTCTTTAGTGATGAGTTTCGAACTACTTTAGAGTGCTGGCGACCTGAGGGACAATGACTAGGTACGCATTGTGTCCCAAAGCTTTCATTTTATTTGAGTGAGCATGGTTTTGGTTTCTACTTGTTCTAAGTTGCTCCTTTTGTTCTTCATGCCGTCTAAACTTGTTAAAAGTTTGTATTCTCATTTAAATTTAACTTATCTCCAATCATAATTGAGGTTGATTGTGAACTTTTAATTACCCGAATTTAGTGCTCTAAAAAAATTTCATGTAAATTAATCCATCAATAAAGTTGGGTGTGCGAAAATTATGTATTATTTGTATTGAATTTCATGTAAAATGAATATAACCTTTCCATGCCCCTGCTTAACCATTATGTGATACCATATAAAATAATGTATGATCATGCTAACATGCTTATGAGATAGTTACTTGCCTATAATCATGCTAACACACATGATTATATTGTGACAGAGTTGTCTTTAATGTCAAGTAATGTCTGGCCCTTTCTTATATAATTATCTAGGATGTGTATTCTATACATTTGGCAATTGGCAATCATGCTTAAGAGAACAGATACAATCATTCGAGGCTCAGTGGATTACATGTTTATTCACATCAGTTGAAAAATAAAGGAAGGTAAATGGTCTAAAAAATGTAAAGACCAAAAGCAAAACACAAGCAAAGTGTAAGAACCTTAAAGCTAAGTTTTTCCCTTTTTTTATTAAAAAAACACACACAGACAAATGAGCAATCAAACCAAACTCAAACCTCTAAATTCTATGACCTAAGTAGAGGATTTTTTCTAATATGATAAGTTTGACTCTAAAATTTTTTAAATTTATTTGGACTAGTTTATCAGGCTTAATTCAAATTATCACCTCTAATTTTTTTTCTTTTTTCTTTTAAAATTTATAATTTTAAAATATGTCAAGCGGATGCCAAGTGCCAACATAGTCAAATTAACGATATTTTTTTTTTCAATTCTATCCTCAATTTATTTATTACTTTTTTTAAAAAAAAAAGAGGTATTAGAATTTCAATCTTCATTATTATGTTACTTATAGCATATCTTATATCATGGCACATACTAATACACACACAATAGAGACGGGAATGGGAGGAATTTCGATCTCATTCGTACAATGCATGGGACTGAGATGAGAGGGGTAGCAAGTAGATTAGATAGATTGCATGAGGACATGAACATCCTATGAAGTAGGAAAAAGATATCATCAACCCATCAAATTGGAGGTGGACAGAGCTGCTTCCTTTATCACGGCCTGTTTGCTTCTTGAGGTATGAGACATATATAACGGACACATCCAACCACTGTTAACAGGTGTTCGCCACCTGAACTCCGACTCTCCACCACACAAAATCTCTTTATGAGACAATCCCAGCTACCTTCCACCTTCTGTCTTCCATGGCATAGCTTTCTCTGCAATCCCAATTCTCTCCCCATTCCTTCAGCCCCTTCCACTGCCTACACCCATCTCCTGCCACCTTTCTCTCACCTGGCCCAGCGTGGGGGAGGGGATGCTTTCATGAGGTTCTTATCGGAATTCACTTCCTGTTGCGGCTGCGCTCCCCCGCGCTCGCCGGTTCCCAAACGGACGTCGTTCGTGCCTCGCCCGACCAAGACGCCCAGGCCTCCACCTTCTTGTCGGCCCCGCCGTGTTCTGAAGAGAAGGAGGCTGCCTGCTCCGGCTCAGTGGAAGCCCACCTTGGTACCCATTTCAGAAGACGACGACGAGGTCGCGACGCGGAGATGCGATTCCACCCGATTGGGAAAACAAGGGAAGAGGAGGACCAACGCCTCCGAGGCGCTTCATTACGATTACGAATCCAGGTAATATGTGTGTGTGTGTGTGTGTACATATGTATATACAAATTTGATTTGATTAACGACGTTTAAATATTAGATTAAGAACAATGTAATTAGGGTTACTTGCATGTTTCAGGAGAGCCGGTGCATCCAAGGTTATAACGGCCTTTTATCCTATGCCATACATGTTCTGATCATCTCATCTTGTGAGAGGAAATGAAGTTTCTTTAATTTTTTTCCACAACATTTTGAAAGCTAAATTGTAAATATATTTGGTGTTTATTTGTAGATCCGATTGTAAAGTCTCCCAATGTGCATGGTAATGGTGGTATTGTTGCTTTTCTAATCTCTTCCATCTTGTATTGTTTCATCTTTCTGATATTATGTATCGTCATAAAATGTAATGGAAGGCTTAATTAAGGCATGTAACAAATTGCATACGAGTTTTTTTGAATTACCTCATCGATGTTTTATTGCAAATTTTGTCGTCTTCGTATCTCTAAAAGAAAATTGTGTAAGGATATTTGGAGATAAGAAATGTGTTTAAAAACAAAATGGACCAGTTCCTCCCGTGCTCAAAACAAGTTAACTGTGGATTAGAATTTGGTGAGTGGTTGTCAGTTTCTCAATATCACGGCTATTAAATTTTATTAATATTTAAAATTATTAAAATATATTTCTCTTCAAAAAATTCAAAACAATTTTCAGGATTGGGATATACTCCTTAGTCTTTATAGACATTGTCCCCTTCAAAAATTTAAAATTTAAAATCAATACTTTATGTGTATCATATAACAAGATCTCTAATAATTATTCATTTAAATTGAATAATTTATCATGTCATATGTAAGATGCTCATTAAATGGTGGATTTAAATATTGTTAAATGAAGTTAGCTATCTATAGCATAAGATAATTTGTTTGAGATGGTGGGTAATAACTTCTACCTTAAAAAAACGGAAATAAAAAAAAGGTTTTAAAATTTAAGATCAAATTTATTTAGCAGTCATACCAAACAAGAAATGTTTAAGTAGATTGAATGCACCACATTATTTATAAACTATCTAATAAAAATAGAAAATTTAGATGATACTCTCTTCATTAAAAAATATAAGATCTTTTTTAAGGAGTTAAATATTAAAAAATATAAAATATTTTTAATCTTTTAAGGTGTAATCATTATCTTTTTTTCAAAAATATTCCTATTGAATAAATCACTTTATCATTTATGTTTATTCTATGGTGAAAAAATCTATTAAATGAGGATAAATCTAAAAAGATAAGGTTAATTTGAAGACAAATAATTACTTTATTAAGGTAAAATTTAATTAAAAATGCCTTATATTTTTTAACAGAGAAAGTATTAAATATAAATTGATTATGATATTAATAATAATAGAGAAAGTATAGGCAAAAAGAAATCAAATGTGTATTTTGTTATAAAAATAAAATTAATTTAAAAAATATCACATAAAATTTTGTTTAAATTACTTAAAACATTTTAATTAGATAGAGTACAAAAAATGTAATGTATTTGATCAATCTAAATATTTCTCCATGCCAATGATTTGAAAGTAATGAAGAAATTTTTTTTTTCTTTTAACATAAAATTGTCGTAATTAAGAGTAATCGAATCATATATAAATTTACCTTTTTATCAAGCTTTTTCACTGTTAAAACAACTCTCTTATCTGATGAGTACAACCTTTTGACTTCTGATAACATTTTCCCCATATATTTGATTGTAAGAGAGAAAAATTTATTTCTTAATATACATCATTGGGGACAAAACTAAATATAGTAAAGGCCAAAAAAGTTTGACAAAAATAAAGGACTAATATGCGAAGTTAGAAAATAAAAGAGTATCATCGTCGCCACAATTCACACAGTGGAGGCACATCCTCGGTTCACCATTCCGGTGAACGTATCATAGAGCGGTTGGTCCATCGTCTCCGGCAGGTAAAACCCTAACACCCCCGCCGCGACACCACACGCCGCAAACACCGCAAACGGCAGCCCTCCGCCCAAAACCACCACAAACGGCGCCAGTATCGCCCCCATTTGCGCCGCCTGCGTCGCGCATCCAAGCGCGGCGTTCCTCACCACCGTCGGAAATAGCTCCGCCGTGTATATGAACAGCAAATTATACGTTCCTGCCATCCCAAATATACCCAGGACGCCACACACCATCCTCACGACTTTCCACAACCCCACGTTTTTCATCAAGCTCCCCGAGAAACAGAAGAACCCACTGAACCACAACGTCCCAATCGCTAAAGGTTTCCTCCCATATCTGTCCAGCATCAACGCCGTTATCGTAAAAGCCGGCATCTCCGCTACCGCATTCAGCAAAACGTTCATGTATATGTTGGTTTCCAGATTTACGACATTCAAGCTCAGACCGTAGTACACCACAGAGCACAATAAGTTGATGGCCACTGCGAGAAATAGGCGAATTCGTGTTAGTGGAGATCGAATAACATCTATGATGGATCCCGTTACAGCATCTTTGGTCTCCGGTTGTTGTTCCTTGCAGGTTAGAGCATGGCCTCTGGAAACGTCATCGTGTGATGTTTCTTCGTCAAGCGCGAGAATAACGCCGTCCGGGAGGTCCTTCCCGTTGGTGGTGGCGATGTCGGACATGAGTTTCATAGCGTCGTTGATTCTTCCTCGGACGAGGTACCATCTTGGGGATTCGGATAAGAATGGGATAACGATGACGAGGAAGAGGAAGGAGGGGATGGAGGAGGCGATGTAGAGAGCACGCCATTCCGGGAAGATATAGGCAATGCCGGAGAGGAGGGCGATGCCGGTGGAGAAGAAGTAGAAGGTGGACATGCCGGTGGAACCACGCTTGGTGGGGCCAACGGGCTCGTTGGCGAGGACGAAAGCGCAGAGGCCGACGCCGCCAGTGCTGAAGCCAGTGAGGAGGCGAAGGAGGACGTAGATCCAGTAGTTAGGGGAGACAGCAGTCAAGCAGCCGAAGATGGTATTGAGGAGGCACACCACGGTGAGAGATCCTTTCCTTCCCAGAAAGGAATCTGAGAGATGACCGAATATTCCAGCACCTGAAAACACAGGACAAGAATAAATTAATGTCTTCGTTAAAATTAAGTCTGCAAATTTTTAATTTAATCTTTCATTCATAATTATTTATCATCAGTCCAAAAAACAATTCAAGTTGTATTTGGTTAGCTAAACTATAAAAGAATTCATGTACGAGCACTGTAGAAGATGTGAATCTCAACAGTAATCATAATAACCAAAATTAAATTGCTGAATCTCAGCAAATGTGATGCGAAATATTAGCTTGGTATGGAGGAAATTAAGGGGACAATAAAACATTCCAATAAACATGTGCTTTGATTAAAAAAACAAGAATAAAAATTCTCAAAAGCTCAGCTTTCCAAAAAAATTCCTGAAGTAATTTCACTCAAATTAAAAAATAATATTATTTTTTGAAAGGTTAAAATTTGTTTTTTAGAAAAATATTACTCCCTCTAAACCACAATATAAAACATTGATAATTATTTCACAGCTTTTAAAAAGTTACATAAAATCTTAATCTCTTAAAAAATGTACATATTTTCAATTATACTATCATTAAATATCATATACTCTCTCTATTAAAAAATATAAAACATTTTTAATTAAATTAAACTTTCAATAAAGTAATTAGTTGTCTTCAAATTAACATAGCTTTTTTATATTTATTCCTATTTAATAAGGTGTTTTACTTTAAAAAATATAAAGTAATTTATTTACTAGTAGCACTTTTGAAAAAAATGCACATTAAGTATACCTCAAAATTATAGCCAATAATTGAGCTTATTTGGGCGGGGATCAATTCAGGTTAATCTTATTTAGATTAAGATTAAAGTATTCTACCGTATAGAAAAAGTTCATATAGCCAAATCTAGCCCTAATTCCTCAAGCTTTTAGGCTTATTCAGGCACCCATATATTCAAATTGTTAAATATTATTTCATTTTATTTTTTATTTTTATTTAATTTCAATTCTTATTTTAAAAAATTAATATTTTCAATTTTTATATCATTTTATTAATAATAAAAAAAGAATTCAGGCATTTGAGTTTGAGCTTAGCCCAGATTTCTTTGAATTTATTCAAGCAGCTAAAGAAAATCTTTTAAATTCTCAAGTCTTGCTCTTAAGATTTTTTGAGCTAACCCATCAAATTTGACCTAAATTGCTGTCTATACTCAAAATACTAAAAATTTTTCACATTTTTTAGCATCTAAACCCTCAAAAAATCTTTTTCATTTTTTAATTGAGCAAGTATAAATTATACCTTAATTAATAATGATAATTAAAATTTTAATGTATTATTTATGAAGTAAGAATATAATTGAAAAAAACAGTTAAATTGAATCAAACAAAATTTTTAAAAAACATGATACATCGTGTGGTACATCCACTAACTTGTAAGGAATTATCATTACTTGCATTTACAAAAACCTAAACATTTGAGGGGATCCTGTGTGCAGAAGCTTTTATGATGAAGGTGGAGTGCATTCAAAGCTGTGTTGTTCTGGAAACGAATGAGAGACACAATAACAAAGAAGAAAGGATCCAGTTCCATCCAGGGTCAAGATTTTTCATATTATTATATGTTATATTTATTAAAATAAAATTTATAAAAATTATAAAATAATTTTATTAAATTTTTTATTTTTAAATATACATAAATTGTCATAATTTTAATATTAAATTAAACGTTTTAAATTAAACCTAGACCAAATTAAAAATAAAAAATTATTAAAATTATTTTATAATTTTTATAAATTTTATTTTAATAAATATAATATATAATAATAATATTTTAAATTTGGATCATCTTTTAAATGAGGAGGGAAGCCAATTGCGAAGAAGAAAAGGGCAAAACGCAAGGCACTTTATGGGCGCACACGCTAAGAGAAGCTCAAACATGCTGCAAAGTGCAAACCTTTCAAAAAGCAAATGCACTCCGCTGCTCCTGCCATCATTCCTACTAGCCTTGAGCTCTCAAGAAGGACGTGTCTCCGTTTTGTTCCTTGCCTTATTCTTAATGATTAAAATAAGCTATGAAGAATATGTTTATATAAAAGACCATCTTAACATATTTAGTATAATTTTTTAAAAAGATAAATATAATCAATGTATTTATGTTATTATAACTTTTTAGTCTAAATGTAATTATTATTTTTAATTATTTTAATTATTTTTTAAAAAAATATTAGTTTTTATATTAAATCATCTTGCAATCCAGATCTGGCCCTGCCCCTACACACCCTACGTCCGATAGTATGTGTGCAGGAGCTATGCCCCTCATTATCCAGAACAAGCACGTGGCTACTGACCGGACCAACCAAGCTCTCTAGCAAGGTAAGCCAGCCCACCACGCAGACTTACTAATCAAAATTTAAAAATTGACTAAAAGCAATTCCTCTCCTTTTGATTGGTTAATTGATTAGTTTAGCCGACACGGAAATCAACCTGTCATTATTTAATTCGGGGATCTTAACATGTGAGTCATCACGCATCGATGCGCTCTCCGACAAGCCTCTCAACCTCAAAATTAGTACTTGGCTTCTCTTCATTTCTTATTCTTTTCACTCTCTCTTTACTTTTTATATCTAACTGTCAAATTTATTTTTAAACAATTAAAATTTAATATTTTATAAAATTATTATTAAAATATAAAATTTTATAAAAAATAAATATAATAATAATTTTATGAAATATCAAATTTCAATCGTTTAAAAATAAATTTAACGGTTGAAATAAAAAGTGAAGAGGAAAAAAAAAAAAGAAGAAGAAAAGTTGGGTCTAAACTACAACCCCCGTAATTCTAAGCCATTCAGCACCTTTACATTTTTTTTTTATTTTTTGAAATTTTAATAATATCTATGTTTCTTACTGTCGTCCTTTCTTATAATTAAATCCTGGCTATGCACTGAATTCTCCCGCAAGGCGAGGAAGACGACAACCCACTTTTGGACCCTTGTGCCATTCTCATCCTTCCCCTAGAAGCATCCTTTTCCTTTTCCTCCCCCCTTCCTTTGTGGTCCCATTAATCACTCTATTCTATACCTCTTTCTTTTAGTTTCCACTCAACTTTTTTCTTCTTCAATTGCCTGTAACTTTAAAAAGATCAAACTTCAATTAATTCTACAATTGTCATTGTGAAGCCCCATGTTTCGTGACTACTCTGACCATTATACATAAATTTAATTATTTTCGTTCATTTATCTGTTAACTTATATTACTCATTTATGCCTACCACGCTATGTCCGCCTCTCTATAGACATTCATGAAAAATTCATGACCAGTCTGTTATAAAGAAGAATCCAGAGCTTATAAAGTCTGTGCTTGGCAGTACATAAATATAAATCCCCGTTTCTTTATTATTTTATTAACTATATCTCTCTAAAAATCTATAAGCAAAATGTCACTGCCACGCCCTCGCCCACATACTTATCTCGTTGCGATCAGCTGGATACTTTCATAGGCATGGAAACATTCGAAACGTGCTCAATTTACTACTGTCACCGTGTCGTCAGCCACGGCTGGATTATTTTACTCCTAAATATCATTAAATCGGTATTATTATTTTTCTATTTATGCAATTCTCGCTGTCATGTTATACTATCAACTGAATTTCAAAATATTAAATGCTATTAAATAATAAAAATAGAGATAATTGTGAACCAGAGAAGCAGAAACTGACCGATCATGCAGCCGCCGAAGAAGATGGCCTGGACCACGCCGACCTTGTATTTCTCCCCGCAAAACAAACCCCACTCTGCGACCGTTGAGGACTCCAGGCCCCCGACCCACTCCCACAACCCGGGTCCGAGTCCGCACACGCTCGTCGACGGAGAGCCGCAGCCCGAGCCATCGGTGCACCTCCAATCAGGCTCGCGGTCCGCGAAGATCATGACCATGGTGTGGAAGGCCTCGAGAGCCCACGCGAGGCTCGTGAGCACGAAGTGCCGAAGCTGCCACGGCCCGAACTCGCCGCAGTACCGCTGGAGCATCTCGTCAATGGAGACCATCTCCGGTTCGGAATAACCGGCAGACTTCTTCGAGTCCGTCGGAGGTAGCAGCGGCGATCGAAGCTCGGGGTTCGAGCCATGGGTGGTGGCAGGCATCTCGGAGTCTGGCTTAGGTTTACGAAACGCTACAATTTCTGCTTCTCTTTTCGGGCTTGCTCCCGCGGCGAGCCTGGGGTTATATATATATATATATATATATATTATATTTTTGGCCACATAGCCTTGCGTTATAAAAGCGTGGAATTGAGTTTTTTTTTTTTTAAACCTCGAGTAGTGAATATATATATTATTTGGATTTGAACTGTGTTTAAATATATGTGACCATTTTTAAATACACACACATTTTTTTCCTGTTTTTACATAACATGGGCCAGTAAAGTTTGGATTTAGGAAAAATATATATTAAATATGATCCTATTAAATCGAGTGTAATTCGTTCGGTTATTTAAATTAAAAATTTGATGAGGATACATTTGGACGGGATTCGAATATACTCTTTTATTGACCCTAAAAAATAACACTATTTCGTTGATGGGGGCCACGTGGGCGGTCCGATGAAGTCAATAGGTTTAGAATTTCTTTAATTAAAAAGAGGGACAGAATTTTTAAGTGATGGGTTTAGGTTTTTGACCAAGGCTAAGAGGAAGGTTTCTTCTTTTCTTCTTCAGGATGGCTGCGACGACCGAGAGTAAAACAGTGGAGGTGAGATGGAATTGTGTCATTTGAGACCGAATATTAAATTTAAAAAGAGAAATAAATAAATGTCAGCGACAAGAGTACGGGACTAGGAAACGGGGAAAACGTCATTATTAACTCAAAACATCCATTCATAGATAATTCCATCTTAAAAAATTTTAAAAATATTTGTAAATATTAATTTAAATACAAGCAACAATATAAGTTTTATTCTATATAATTAAGGTGGTCATAACTTTTTTACATTTTTATTATTTAATACATCTTGATTTTATTTTCTAATAAATTCTTTTCTTTTGTATAAATATATTTCATATTAGAATTGATAGGATAATCATTATTTTCACAAATTATATTATGATATCATAGCCAATTCCTTGTTTTTTCTTTCTGCTTTATTTGGCACTTGAACCCATAGTTTCACCTTCTACTATTATCATTACTCTAAATGCTTCTGTAGTTGTGGATGGAATTGCTCAGTCTTCATCTTCTGTCTCTTTGACATTCACTCGGAATCATTCTTTTAGAATCAATGATTTGGGTCAGCTTTACTATTCTCTTGGTATGGAAATAGGCCAAACATCCTTTGATATATCTATCTATCAATAGAAATTTGCTTTAGACATTCTTTTCTCATTGTGGTTATTTTGCTTACAAACCAACTTCTACCTTTATGGATAAGTTTGCCAAGCTTTTTAAATATGATAGTACTCATATTGACAATTCATCCATTTATCAGCGTCTTATTAGTTGTATCCTCTATTTGACAATAAAACACTCTAACATTGCTTTTGTTGTTTAGCAATTATTTTAGTTTATGTTTGATTCACGTTGCACTCATATGCATGCGCTACTCATCGTGTTTTTCATTATATTAAATCGTCTATAGGCAAGGGCTTATTTTTTCCCATTAACTTTGATCTTAAGTTGAAGGCTTTCTTTAACTCTTATTAGAGTGGTTATATTCATTCTCACTGCTCTATTATTAGTTTTTGTGTTTTTCTTGACAAATCTTTGATTTCTTGGTGCTTGAAAAAACAATACATTATTTTTTGTTCCTATTCTAAGGTTGAATATTGGGCTCCTAGTTCTGTTACCTATGAGTTACAATTATTGCTATTTTTATTACAAGAATTTCATATATCTCATCTTTCTCCTACATTAGTTTTTTGTGATAATTAATATAATTTTCATATTGCCTCTAATCCTACTTTTCATGAGTGCTAGCATATCAAGCTGGATTGTCATCTTGTTTGTGATGTGCTTCAGGTTGGCATTATCCATTTACTTCCTATTCGCTCAAAAGATCAAATTGTTGATATCTACACCAAGCCTCTTCAAGCTGGTCTCTTCAATGATCTCCTATCTAAGTTGAACATGTGTGACATACATTCTCCAACTTATTGGGGGCAACATAGAACAATATTATATTTTTGATCATATAAAGGGTTAATATGCAATTTAAATTCTCTAATGGTGATTTGAATGCTGAACTTTTAAAAGGTATATTATGAATTCTAAACAATTAAAATTGATATAATTTTGTCCCCATTGTTAAATTTACACAAATGTCTGTTAGTTTTTTTAAAAAAATTGGGGTCAAATGTACAATTTTTATCAAATTTTACTCTCCAACTCTCCCCATCCTCATTTGAAAAAAATCCCACATTAGATTCCAATTTTAAAAAAAATAACCAACATTTGTGTAAATTTAACGATGGGGACAAAATTATTTTAATTTTAATTATTTGAAATTTAAAATATACTTTTTAAAAACTCAGTGTTCAAATTATCATTGAACCTATAGTTCAGGATTTAAATTACATATCAACCCTTATATATATATATATATATATATATTATTCTATATAGTTAGGGTGGTTATAACTATTTTATTTTCTGATAGATCTTGATAGATTATTTTTCTTTATATAAATATATTTCATATTAAAATTAATAAGGCTTTTCACAAATTGATTAAGTTATAAATTAAAAATTACATTTGAAACTTGAATAATTTATTTATAATTGAAACAACTAAATTTACAATTATTTAAATTAATATTTGTAACTTATTTTTTTTAAAAAATTGGTTAAGAAATTAAATGTTATTGAATTGGCATTTTTTAGATCTAGCTGTCACTTTTCCTAAAATAATGAGCATGCATGAATAATGGTTACACAGAACTTTGTAAAGTTGGGATGCTTGAAGTATACATACACTTTTTTCCCCCAGCAAAAACATACACAGACTCCTTCTTTTTTGATATAGTATATATGGACTTCGTTTTGGGCTTTTAGCTAACTATATTACAAGAGTCTCAAAAGGTAAATATGTCCGAAATTGCTCATATATACAAGGTTAGGGATTGAATTCAATTCATTCAGAGTCTCATTCGAATAATTTTGTATACTCTTTTAGTACTTGAAATTGTATCGAGATTTCTGGCTAAAAAAATTGTATCAAGATCCTCGTCTTTTAAAATTTTCCCGCTTTAATTTTTCCAGTTTACAATATAATACTAATGTCCATCTAATACTTCCTCTTAAGTTCTTTATGAAAATTTTGGTTAGCGTGCTATCGCTCAGCTAAATTTACTAATGATAGAATTTGCATTGAACATTACAATTCTCAGTGAAAAGTTACTTCCCTTTTTCACTGCACAAAATCACAACTTGATTTTATTGAGGGTAATTAATTTTGAATAAAAATTCACTCCTAATTTGGAAAGATAAATTCTTCAAAAAGTTCGTGAATCATCTGAAATAATCACAAGATTCATGATTCATGAATCATTAAGAAATGCATTTCTTTACGTAGTTTCATAAAATATCGTTACATTCATTAATTCAAAATTAAATGATTATGTTTTTTAGTTACTCCTTTAATCCTATTTATAAAATAGAGATAATTAATTTTTTAATTTTATTTATAGGCTATTTCAATAAATATTGTATTCATTTTTATCATTTTGTCATAATTAAATGTTGAAAAGATTATTACTCCCTCTATTAAAAAATATAAATTATTTTTAATAGAATCTCACCCTCCAATAAAGTAGCTACTTATTTTTAAATTAATTCTATCTTTTTATATTTATCACTATTAAACACTCTACAGTAAATATAAAGTTATTCATCAATAGGGGCACTTAAAAAAAATGATTACATTTCAAAAGGCTAAAAATGCCTTACACATTTTTTAACATTCAACTTCTTAAAAATTATCTTACGTTGTTGAATGAAGGGAGTAAATATTAGATTATTTTATTTTAAACTATGTATATTTAATAGGAATAAAATCAAAAACTTATTAATTTTTGATACAAAATTAATGAAATTTAATGTTTTCCTTAACTCTAGTAAAAATATTAACAGTGATTTATAAATAGGACTAATGGATAATAATAATATGCTTCTAGCCTCTAAGTTACACAGATACTGATACACATATCGGATATATATCCGATACGTCGATATTTTAATTTTTAAAATTATAAAAAATGACACGTTTTCAATATGTGTATATATATTTGTAAAAAAATATTAAAAATATACTTTTAATTTGAAAGATATTTAAATTAGTAAACATAAATAGTCCTTTATAATAATACCAAATAAAATATAATCATTTATTTTAGTTTTTATTTTATCTATACCTAATTGCCTACTACTTAGTTCTTATTAATAGGTACAGTATCAATATTTTCTCCTTATCGACTATCGTAAGATTACATTTTCATGTTTTTATAATTAACAAAAATGTAATATTTATTCTTTTATTATATTCAAAACTTATTTTTTAAGAAAAATCTAATCTTTGACTTTAAAAGCAAATCAAAAAATGATATTAGCAATAAAAAGTTTAATATTGCAAGTTTTAATAATTTTTTTTAAATTTTTATTTTTAAGTATCGATTAGCAATGTAGAAGTATCCAATATGTATTGAAAATTATTTTTTTAAATTAAAAAAATATTATTTTGATATTATGGATATGCATCGAAGAAGTATCGATGAATATCGGTATATGATACTAACATGGATATGTAAGACAATTTGAAATATCAATGTTTTATAACCCTAGGCTCCATCCCCTCTCATCTTTCAAGACAATCGCACAAATCGTAAAAGCAAATCATCACCTCGTATAAACACCATTGATACTTGAAATTTGAAATTGTAAATTACACTCATAAATTCGTTGTCTTTCCCTTTAACTAAGTGAACAAAACATAAAAGCAAATAAAATTCCATTAAACAAGAACTTGTCTCCTGTAATTTATAGCATAAATCCTACTTGGAGTTTATGCTCTTGATTGAATTGTAGACTTTAATTGATATGACAATATTTAGCGCTCATAGCCTGTGCAGCGCCGAAATAATCTTTTCTCGTCATATTATTTGGATTTAGAACATGTTTACATATTCCTAATTGATCTGATGTCGACGATTCCATCAGAAGGCAAGTGTTCTT